TATACTTTCCAGGGATATACACATAGATGATGAGGTTGATGCAAACATTGCCAGAGCTAGCTAAGTGTTTGGAGGCTACCAAGCTGAAGGTCTACAGAGCCATTGTGCTAACCTCATTGTTGTATGCCTGTGAATCCTGGGCAATATACCAGTGCCAAGCCGGGAAACTGAATTGCCTCCATCTGAATTGTCTTAGGAAGATTCTGAAGACCACCTGGCAAGATAAGGTACTTTAAGTGGATACATTGGGGGAATTTTGTGAAAAACTTACTGGAAGACAGGTGTAAGAATCATAGAATAGTCGGGCATGGGTGGATGGTAACCTATACCACTGGGAAGGAACATGCATTTTGACAAGATCACAAATCTATTGGAGTATTGATGTATTATCTCCTCAAAGCGCTGTCTATTTATCTTATTTGTAACTCTAAGTGACCCTATGAGACAGGTACTAAAATCCTCATTTTTAGATTAGATAACTGAGGGTTAAGGGAGGTTGTGATATGGTTCATGGGCACACAGCTAGTAATGACTTGTGCTCTGTTCTTCCTGACTTCAAGTTCAATTTTCAATTGTGTTACACTGATGATGGCGGTGATGATAATGATTATAATAATTTTGATAATCATGTAAGGGTCCAAGAAAGAGAAAAATAATGACTCCCCTTAAGAAAATACTCCCAAGTTAACATTAGATGAGTGGGAATGTATTTTGGTGGCCTGCTATATAAGTAGATAAATTCAGGAAGTTCTGTGAGTGGTCAGAAAAAAGAATATCTATGAAACAGAAACAATATGGACCTGATATAGGTAGGATCTAGGACCTAACAGTGTTTCAGAGGTGACAAAGAAAGGAAAGATCAAAAATACTGATCATTTTGATCAGGCAGATATAGGGACAGGTTGTTTTTGCCGTATGGGTTTTCATTGCTGATTGAGTCATATTTGTCTTCTCATTATCTTTTCAGTTTTTCTCCTTATTTATTTTGTTCTTTTGTGTTAGGGTTTTGATTCACACAAATTATTATGCCTTGTTAATGAATGAATGTGACCCTGGTGTTTTATGACACTATAGTATCCTAGCACAAATCACTAATGAGGTCAAGTGAAGGAGGTCCAGAAATCTTCAGAGAGGATGCTCTGCCTGTCATGAACAACTTGCATCTGTTTTAACCTTTTGGCAGTTGGACTGAACTTCAATATACAGCCTTTTTTGGCAGAGAACTGAGCTGGATGACCTAATCGGCCTTTGACCATCTCCAATTTAGAGACCATGACTCCAACTGTTCTTTCTTGGTGGAGTGTCACTGTGAATTACACAGAGGGCCTTCAGCAGTATTCCCCAGAGGCTAACACTAGTCAACATTTTCACTTCATACAAGTAAATCATGCACTGCTCAGCTGAAAAGCATTTAGGGTTACTTGGTAACTCTTTTGTGATCTGGGTGACATAAACAGCGTTCTCTGATGGAAAAAAATTGCAGAACAGTTTTAGGCAAATGCCATGAAAGTTTATAAAATTATAATGTTTACCCAAAATTCATCTTTTAATAGTTCCTTTGGGAGGATGACTTAATGGGCAAGGGACTTTATCAGTTACTGGTTATTACCTGATATTGGCTTTGTAAGCTTAATATTGTTACCCAAATTTCAGGCCTAGAGAATTAATGTAGGACACTCCTCAGTGTGGGAGAGAGTGATGTTAATGCTATGTGCCTGCCTGAGTAGCAGAGCTGACTTCAGAACTATACTCTTTAACATACCTGCTGCAAGAGAGAACATGTGATTCCAGACTGTCTGATAAAATACTGAGACAGAGGAATGAGAGAGAGACAGACAGACAGATAGAGGGAGAGAGAGAGAGAGAGAGAGAGAGAGAGAGAGAGAGAGAGAGAGAGAGAGAGAGAGAGAGAGAGAGAAGAGGAAAACTGCATCTTCAATATGTCTCTGATTTCCAGCTTGCTTCCTTAGAGAATTCAAGGAATTTCCCCTTGGGTGATACAAGGGCCTTTTCTTAAATTAATTCAAGAAATTTTGCTTCCAGTAGGAGAGTTCATTCACTCTGGGCATTTCATAATATATTCTAATCTGTAGAATTCTCACTTCTGTTTGCTATTTGTTTGCTCAAATGGGTTTTACTTTGTTCACTTTATCATGATCTTTTGAATGGCAAGTGATAGGAAAGAGACAAGTCTGCTAATATAAGCTTGGGATATTCCTTTCCTCAAGGAATAGTGACCAGAAAAGCAACCTAAAACTTAAATAGTCATTTCCCCAGACCATTACTTTTTGAGGGGGGCAGATAACCATAATTCTAGTTTGGTATAATTCTCTCTCAGAGGAAAGCAGTGTGCTCAGTCTCTTAGCTTCTTCCCTTGATCCCCTGAGGGCAGGAATGAAAGATTCTCTTGAAGAGGAGAGGTGGAGTTTACAAAATTATCTATCCATCCCTCTTCACAAGCCATATTAGACAACCAATTTAGACAATACATTTAGACAGCCTCCCGAGTATCAAACATATTGTATATCATTTATTAATCCATCTCATATTCTATATTCAAGTTCAAGAGTTCTACTTCTTTCTCTCTTTATATGGCACTTTTTTAATTTTAACATTTTATTTCCCCCGATTACATGTAAAACAATTTTAACATTCTTTCCCCAAAATTTTAATTTTTCTCTTTCCCTCCTCCCCATTAAGAAAAAAAGCAATTTGACATGGATTATGCATGTGTAGTCAGGCAAAACACATATCCATGTAAGTCATTCTATGAAAGAAAATACAGACAAAAAAATCCAAGAAAAAATAAAGTAAAGAAAAAGTATCTTTGATCTGCATTCAGGCTCTGCCACTTCTTTCTCTGGAGATGGATAGTACCTTTAATCATAAGTCCTACAGAATTATCTTGGATCACTGTATTGCTGAGAATAGCTAAGTTATTCACAGTAGTCATCACAAAATATTGCTGTTCCTGTGTGCAGTGTTCTCCTGGTTCTGCTCATTTCACTTTCCACCAGTTCATGTAAGCCTGTCCCTGTTTTTCTGAGAGCATCCTGCTCATCACTTCTTAAAGCACAATAGTATTTCATCACGATCATATACAGCAACTTGTTCAGCTATTTCCCAATTAATGGAGAAGTCTTCGATTTCCGATTCTTTGGCACCACTAGAAGAGCTGTTATAAATATTTTCATACACATAGGTCCTTTTCCTTTTTTTTTATCTCATTGGAATGCAGACTTAATAGTGGTATTGCTTGGTCAAAGGGTATGCACGGTTTTATAGACCTTTGGACATAGTTCTGAATTGCTTTTCAGGATGGATGAATCAGTATGCAACTATAGCAATAAAACAAACAAACAAAAAACCGAACATTAGTGTTTTAATTTTCCCACATCCCCTCCAACATTTATCATTTTCCTTTTCTGTCATATTAGCTAATATGACAGGTGTGAGGTAGTAGCTCAGAGTTGTTTTAATTTGCATTTTTCTCATCACAAATGATTCAGAGCATTTTTATATGACTATAGATAGGTTTGATTACTTTGTCTGAAAACTGTCAGTCTATATCCTTTGATCATTTATCAATTGAGGAATGGTTTTCTATATGCTTGAAAAATGAAATATTTCTTTATCAGAGAAACTCACTGATTTTTTTTCACAGTAATTATTACCAATTATGTATTTCCCTCTATCCTATTTTCCTGTTTATCCTACTCTCTTTTGTGACCTTGTTCATTCTCTAAAGTGTTTTGCTTCTGACTTTTACCTCCCCAAACTGCCCTCCTTTCAATCAGCCACCCTTCCCCTTCTCATATACCCTTCCCTTCCTACTTTCCTGTATGGCAAGATAGATTTCTACACCCAACTGAGTGTGTTCATTATTCTGTCTTTGAGCCATTCCAAGGAGAGTAAGGTTCATGTCTCCCCTCCCCACTTCCCCCATTTCCCTCTCACTGTAGAATCTCTTTCAGGCTTCTTTTGTGCCAGATAATTTATCCCATTCTACCTCTCTCTTTCCCATTCTCCCTGTGTATTTTTCTTTTTCATTCTTTATTATTTTTTTTAGATAATCATACCGTCACATTCAACTCACACCTCTGCATTCTATCCATGTATACACCTTCTAACTTCCCTAATAATGAGAAAGTTTTTAAGAGTTATAAATACAACTTCCAGTGTAGGAATATAAACAGTTTAACCTTTTCAAATCCCTTATGATTTCCCTTTCTTGTTTACCTTCTTATGCTTCTTTTGAGTTTTGTATTTGAAAATCACATTTTCTATTCAGCTCTGGTCTTTTCATCACAAATGTTGGAAAGTCCTCTATTTCATTAAATATCTATTTTCCCCCAGAAAGATTATACTCTTTGTTTTTTTAAAACAAGAGGTTTATTTAAACAACAATATGTTTGACTTGAAGGGAAAACTGTCTAGGATCAATTTTTTTATAGTAATTTATCCCTACTGAGAGACAGAGATTGCCCTACATGTAACAGCTACATACAAAAAAGTTGTAAAATAGTCCTCGGTTTTACAACGATAAAAGAAAAGCACTGAAATTCTCCAATCAAAAAAGATATGCAAGGATGTGTGTGTGTGTGTGTGTGTGTGTGTGTGTGTGTGTGTTGTTGTTGTTGTTAAACAGTGAGAGCAAAATAACTTACTGGAATATAAAGATGAAAGTTGAATGAGTATGCCACTAATGGAGAAAAGGGATATTTTCACAGAACCAGTTTGTTTTTTCCCCTCCCCATCTCCATTTGATGTTGATCATAACATACCATCAGCCATTTAGTTAAAAAAAAATACGCATGATGCGTGTGCATATACACCAGTTACTTTATGTACAATAAAGGAATTGCAGAAGGGAATAAAAGAAGAGAGAAAACTATACTGCAGTAGTCAGGATGTGGATGAACCAAATCTTGGTTTTCTAATTGTGAATGTATTGTTTTCCTTGGGAGCACAGTTCTGGAGTAGAGTTGCATGTTCTCTTTTCAGTCAGCATCTCCTGCCTGCTGCTGGAATACATCAATTTTATCTTCATCCTCCATTTCCAACCGTGCAGGTGTGTCTGTTTCATTGATTAGTTGCCCATCAAATCAGAATCTGATCTGCCTCATTGACAAACCCTGTCGTTCACAATAGGCTTTCATTAGTTTACCAAGTGGTGTGTGCCTCTTAATCTTAAATTGCACCGCCAAACCATCTTGCCCTGCCACCTTCAAATTAATGTGGTCGTTTTTTTCAGTCTTGATGCCTTCCTTTGGCTTCTCATTGGCCATGGTGAGACCAGGTGCCTCCCCAGCCTCTGCTTCACAAGAGAGGCACAAAATGGTCTGCTCCAAGGGAACAGAGAAGAAGCAGCAGAGGCAGGAGCAGGAGCAGGAGGAGGACAAGGAGGAAGATGATCGATTATACTCTGTTTTGCTGAATAGGTGATCCTTGGTTCTAATTCTAGATCTTTTGTCCTCCAGAATATCATATTCCAAGCACTCTGATCCTTTAATACAAAAGCTGCTAAATTTTGTGTTATCCTGAGTGCAGCTTCACAGTACTTGAATTATTTCTTTTTGGCTGCTTGCAGTATTTTCTCCTTGACCTGGAATTCGGGTACAATATTCCTAGAGTTTTCCTTTGGGAATCTGTTTCAGGAGGTGATAAGAGGATTCTTTCCATTTCTATTTTGCCCTCTGGTTCTAGAATATCAGGGCAGTTTTCCTTCATAATTTCTTGAAGGATGATGTCTAGGCTCTTTTTTTGCTCATGGCTTTCAGAAAGTCCAATAATTTTTAAATTATCTCTCCCACATCAATTTTCCAGGTCTGTTGCTTTTCCAATGAGATATTTCACATTGTCTTCTACTTTTTTAAAAAATCTTTTAGTTTTGTTTTACAATGTCTTGATTTCTCATAGAGTCACTAGCTTCCATTTGCTCCATTCTAACTTTTAAGGAAGTATTTTCTTCAGTGGGCTTTTGGACTTCCTTTTCATTTGGCCAGTTCTGCTTTTGAAGGCATTCTTCTCCTCATTGGCTTTTTGGACCTCTTTTTCCATTTGGGATAGAGTATTTTTTAAGGTGCCATTTTCTTCAGTATTTTTGGGGGGTCTTCTTTAGCAACCTGTTGACTTGTTTTTCATGATTTTCTTGCATCACTCTCATTTCTCTTCCCAGTTTTTCCTCTACTTCTCTTACTTGCTTCTCAAAATCCTTTTGGAGCTCTTCCATGGCCTGGGACTGATTCGTATTTTTTTGGAGTCTTTGGATGTAGGAGCTTTGACTCTGTTGTCTTTTCTTCTGGTTGCATACTTTGATCTTCTTTGTCATCAAAGAAAGATTCTATGGTCTGATTATTTTTGTGCAGTTTGCTCATGATCCCAGTCAATTACTTGAGTTTTAATCTCTTTGTTAAGGTAGGGGTCTGCTTCCAGTGTGGAGAAGGAACCATTCCAAGCTTCAGGGGTTTTGTGCAGCTGTTTTCAGATACTTCTAGGGAGCTGTAAGTTTTCCATTCTTCCAAGGTGGTACAATCAAGGGCAAGGTGTTTACTCCTTTCCTGGCCTGGTCTCTGGTCTGTGAGTGACCACAAGCATTCTTTTCTGCCTTGGAACTGTGAGGAGGATTCCCTCTTCACCACTACAAAGTCCACCATGTCAGTTTTCCTCCTTGCCCCAGGACTGCCACCCAGAACTGTGATCCAGATCCAAGCATGGGAAAAGCAAGAGAATCCTGCCTCTGCACCAGCAAAGAGATCCCTGTAATCCCTCTCTGATCAGCCACTCATTTCCCCCTCTGTCTGTGGGCTGAGAGTTCTGGAAGCAGCCACCACTCTGGGACTACACTGGGACTGAGGCTGGGAACAAATTTCTCTCTCACTGTGGTCTGAAAGGCCTTTCCTACTGATCTAAGTTGTCTTTGGCATTTGTCTGGAAACCACCACAGCTGCCTATGATTTAGCCCCCTGCACTCCTCTCCCATCCCAGAGCAACAGACCTTTCTAATCAACCATCTAGGTTGTCTTGGGCTGGAATTTTTTTTCACTCTGTCTTTTTGTGGGTTCTGCTGCTCTAGAATTTTTTTAGAGCAATTTTTTACAAGTATTTGGAGGGGTTTGGGGGAGAGCTCAAGCTAGTCACTGCTTTTACTCTGCCATTTTGGCTCCCCCCCCCCCAATAATTCTTGAATGATGATATCTAGGCTCTTTTTTTGATCATAGCTTTCAGGTAGTCCAATAAGTTTAAAATTATGTCTCTTGTATGTATTTTCTGAGTCAGCTGTTTTTCCAGCGAGATATTTTACATTTTATTCTATTTTTCATTCTTTTGATTTTGTTGTATTGTGTCTTGATGCCTCATAAAATCATTAGCTTCCATTTATCCAATTCTAAGTTTTAAGGAACTATTTTCTTTAGTGAGCTTTTGTACCTCCCTTTCCATTTGGCTAATTCTACTTTTCAAGGCATTCTTCTCTTCATTGGATTTTTGTGTCTCTTTTACCATTGGGATTATTCTGTTTTTTTTTTCTTTTCTTTTCTTCAATATTTTTTGGTTCCTCCTTTGTCAAGCTATTGACTCTTTTTTTCATCATTTTCTTGTATCACTCATTTCTCTTCCCAATTTTTCCTCTACATCTCTTACTTGATTTTCAAAATCCTTTTTGAGCTCTTCTGTGGCCAGAGGCCAATTCATATTTTTTCTTGGAGGCTTTGCATGCAGGAATCTTGAGTTTGTTGTCTTCTTCTGAGTGTGCGTTTTGATCTTCTTTGTCACCATAGTAATATTCTATGGTTAGATTTATTTTGTTTACTAATTTTCTAGCCTATTTCTTGATTTTTAATTCTGTGCTGAAGTGGGACTCTGCTTCCCAAGTGGAAGAGGCACTATCCCAAAATTCAGCTATTTGTGCAGCTATATTCTGAGTTAATTTTGGAGACCTGTTTTTAGCTCTTCCCAAGTGGTATGAGAGGTGTGTTTGCTATTCTCCTGTATTGTACATTGGTTTGTGAGAGACCATAAGCACTCTTTTCAGCCCTGGAACTCTGACCTGCGTTCTTGCTTTCCTGTGGCTACAAGCTCTGCTCTGATGTGTTAGTGCTTCTCCTCGAACTGGTACTAAAACCTAGGACTGCAACCTAGATCCAAGTATAGGCAGTGCAACAGAGGCCTTCCACCGGTGCCAGCAAAAGGACCCCTGTGAATCTCCTTCTGAGCTGTTGTCTGATCCCCTTACCATCTGTGGGCTGAGAGGTCTGGATACCACCACTGCTGCCCCTGATTTAGTCACCCCAGACCTACTCTTGGTTTGTTGGGACAAGGTCTGCACTGGCACTGCCAGTGCTGAACTGTGCCCCTCTTTCATCCTGATGCAATAAACCTTTCCTGCTGACCTCATATGTTGTCTTGGGCTGGAAAATTGTTTCACTTTGTCTTTCTGTGTGTTCTTCTGCTTTAGAATTTGTTTGCAGTTATTATTTAAAGGTATTTGGAGGGGATTGGAAGAGAGCTCAGGCAAGTTTTACTTTACTCTGCAATCTTGGCTCCGCTTCCTGAACTCTACATGACATTCTTTCTCCTATCTCTTTGTTTTTGCATGGGTTGTACACCCCATGCCTAGAGTGTGCTCCTTGCTCACCTTCACTGCTTAAAAGCTCTAGCTGTATTAAACATTCATCTTAAGTACAACCTCTGGGAACAGGTTCTACTAGTACCAGCCAGTTGCTAATGCCCCATTTCTGTGACTTATTTTGAATTTGCTTCATAAATATTTTGTATTTATTTATATGTGTACATGTTGTTTCCCACCAAAAGAATGCAAGCTTCTTAAGGAAAGAAACTGTTTAGTTTTTGTGTTTGTATTTCCCAAATAGGAAGGTGTTTTTCTATTGACCTCCATGTTATCCCTTAAAATACAGGCTTACAGATGAGAAAAGAGAGCACTAGACTGAATTACTTGCTATGTCCAGTAACACAGTGCCTAGACATAGTAACTATTATATGATTATGCATTTAATGATTAGGGCTTCACTAATCTTTAATAATACTTTTCACTACTTCAAAAAGGATATATTTTAAAGAAAAACAATTTCCTCTTTTCCAGACTATACATTACTCTCCATGACTCACTCCAAGATCAGACCATACTAACTTTCTTACTGTGTTTCAGTCATGATCTTCTGTCTCTTGTCTGTGCGTTTATATTGTTTCCCATACTTGGAATGCTCTCCTTTCTCACCTCTGCCTCTTGGAATAGATAGTTTCCTACAAGACTCAGCTCCAGTACTGCTTTCATGCAAGAAGCCTTTCCTGGTTTCCACCCAGCATGACCTTGTATTTCATTTGCATGTATCTTGTTGGTACGTATGTATGTACGTATTCTCTCCCATGATAGAATGTAAGCAGGAACTGTTACAGGGCAGGAACTGGTTTTTTTTTTTGGTCTTTGTGTCTCAGAATCTAAGAACAATGCTTAACATATAATTGAAAGCATGTAAGCAATGTTTGTTGATTGTTATTAACCATATGTTGTTAACCATATGATGTCTATATATCTATGTCTATAATATCTATCTATCTATCTATCTATCTATCTATCTATCTATCTATCTATCTATCTTGACCTTCTGGTATTCCATTTTCCAATCCAGACCTCTAGATATAGGAAGGACCTAAGCCACCTAAGTCATAGCTAACCAGAACCATGGAGCTTCCTCTTTATGTAGGCATTTTCTGAAGTGCTTCTCTTCATATATACTTCATATATGGAAGTGTCAAGTATTCTAGAGTTGTTGCTGATATGAAATCTTCATGGAAAACGAGTAGAGTATATGATACCTAACATCTAGGCCATGATTCAACTAAGATGTTCTATATTTATATTTCAGTTTCTTTTTGGGGAAGACAAATAACAAAAGTTTATGAATGTGGTCACATCTGTAATTCCTTTACTCCAGTCAAATGAATATTGGAATGGGGTTAGGAAGATGATATTGGGAACACAAGGGCCACAAAAGCATGAGAATATTGCATGGAATGTGTGATGCTGAGATTATAGAATCATATCTGCTTAGACCATGGGTTCTCTACCTTCTTGGTGTCATGGATCCCTTTGGCAGTCTGGTGAAGCCCTTCTCAGAATAATGTTTTTAAATATATGAAATAAAATATGCATGATGACAAAGGAAACCAAATATAATGAAATGATTATCATTTTTATTAAAGATCACAGACCCCTGGGTTAAAAACTCTCATCCTGAAGCTGGAGGGGACCTTAGAAATCATGCATCCT